CTTAATGATTCGATCTATCAATAATATTTCTTAACAAATAAATTTCCTAAGTACCGTTACATTATGATTCACACCTCATTCACACGGTTGCTGATAAAACAATATCATGACGGAAGTATAGTATATATATTAAACATATCTGAATGTTTTTATCTGGTTAACGTAAACAAAAGTGATATCTGATGACTCATACGTGCTTACCGTGCTTGCCCGGAACATAACGTTGCATCCGTATCCGGAATCAGAGGTAATGATTCCGAATGAATGATACTGCATTATTGGATAAAAAGAACATTTTTAAACAATAGAGATTTTTAAAAAAATCTATTTCACACGTAAATATTTTTTTTTTTAAAACATTACCAACGCACATCGAAGCTAACCACAGAGTATAATTAATGTTTTTTTTTTACCATCGTTGCAAGTGGCAACTAGAAAAATCGAAAAACATTCGAAAAAATAATAATTAGGCTGTTAAAAAAACCTACTTTCTAGCAACATAGAATCTATTGAGAGTTGTTCTTCAAGTTTATTTTTTCATTCGAATCTTACGTTTGCCTCTGATTACGTAGAAGCGCCCTGAGCACGTTTCATCGGGGTCAAGGTACTAGGTCAGCTATTACATTGATGAAGAATTTAAGAGTATTGGTTTCGTAATAATTAACTTTGCTTTAATTTAATTAGACCGACGCATGGAAGGAGCGGTTGTTGCCGATGACGGACTCGATGAACTGACCTCCGAGTCCCAGTAGAGGAATGTTTTTATTTTTATTTTATTTTTATTCTTTAGATGTGTGGACGAGCTCACAGCCCACCTGGTATTAAGTGGTTACTGGAGCCCATAGACATTTACAACGTAAATGCGCCACACACCTTGAGATATAAGTTCTGAGGTCTCTGTATAGTTACAACGGCTGCTTTCAAACCGAAACGCATTACTGCTTCACGGTAGAAATAGGCGGAGCGATGGTACCTACCTGTGCGGACTCACAAGAGGTCCTACCACCAGTAAAATGTAGAATGTAGTCTATTACACTCCAGCCTCATTATGTATATTAATTAACCGACTTCAAAAAAGGAGGAGGTTCTCAATTCGACTGTATGTTTTTTATTTATGTTCATGTTAGTTACCTCATAACTTTTGACTGGGTGAATCGATTTTGATGATTCTTTTTTTTTGTTAGAAAGCTGACGCTTCCCGTGTGGTCCCATTTCAATTTAGTCCAGTTCTGATAATGGTATCCATGAGAAAACCATATAAGTCTTAAATTTGCATTAAGTACGTGCGCGACAAATAGATTTCGATGATTATTGTTTTTAGTGTATATTAATTTGTTATCGAATACTTATATATATTTTTTCTATTTGTAGTCGGTTTTTGTTAAAGCATGTCTATTTACAATTATTTTATCTTACAACTTCATATAATAATAGCAAGAATGCAAGCACTAAAAGGTATATATCAGATTTTTTGTACTGGAGGAGTTTCTCATTTTACAGGTGATAGGACCTCTTGTGTGTCCGCACGGGTAGGTACCACCACCCTACCTATTTCTGCCGTGAAGCAGTAATGCGTTTCGGTTTGAAGGGTGGGGCAGCCGTTGTAACTAAGCTTCTAAAACTTATATCTCAATATGGGTGGTGCATTTACGTTGTAGATGTCTAGAGGAGACCTAACATAACGTAACGAGCTAATTATTAGTACCTGTACGTTGTGATTCACGTGTCGTTGACGTTAGTACTCGTAATGACTCACGGGCGTCATATGGGCGCATATCATTTCTCTACGTGACAAGAATTTGAAATAGTTTGACATCTATCGTAGTATTTTTTTTTGTTGTAAATATAAGTTTTGATGCTTTACGCCCTGGAGTAGAAGAAACCTTTGCGTTAATCACATACAATTCGTTCGGCTTACGCGCCATTTTGGGTCGGGTAGTAGGCAAGATGGTCAGTGTGCTTAGTGCGACTTTTTTAACGTTCTCGATAGCGTAAAAGTTAGCCCAATTTTGTATACAATTAGAACAGCGTTCCTATCAGCAAACGTAGGCAAACCATCCCATTCTATACAAATATGAGCTAACTTTTACGCTATCGAGAACGTTAAAAAACTCTCACTAAGCGCACAGACCTGGTTAAGAAAGCGGTTAGTGGTAGTCTAGTCATGCGGTCCCTGCCATCCATGACCGAACACTGTGCAGGAAAGTCACATGTGGTCGCGATCCTCAGCAGTGAGGGAACGATGGAGAAGAGAACGGGCCATTGCAACTTTAGCTTTGAAAGAAATTCGGTATTTGAATGATAATGCGAGACCACTGTATCAATGAATACTTAAAACATAAATATTATTGCAAAAGCATAATTTCTCGACTCTTAATATGAGATTCTTTCTTTCAGGTTCATATTTTTTTACTTTCTCGTAGAGCCTTTGTTTGGTTATTTCGGCCCGAGTGGAATACCTTCCACTGGCTTTTAAATACGAAATGGCTCCCGTTGTTCAAATGTGCTTCGAATTTATAAGAATACTAGCTGTACCCGTCCGCTTCGCTGGGCATTTAAAATTAACATTATTATTTCTGACCCCCACAAATATTCTCATCATTAACGCCCTCGCAACTGGTAGGAAGTCCAACACTCATATAATTATTAGCCTGTCCATTAAGTACATGTATTTTGTACATGGATACCAAGTTTCAAGTCAATCGTATGCATGGTTCAGTAGCTATAACGGAACATCCGTAAAAACCACTGAAGATTTATATATTATGTTATCGAGCAACACTTCCGGCCTCACATAATAAATTATTTACGAACTTAGGAAATATATAGAACTTATTATTCTTATAATATAATTAGTAATTTCATAATCAAGTAAATAGTTCATTCATATTTTCTTTATACTTATAATATTTTATTGGCGCCTTCCGCTTGACAGCTTCCGGCGCAATAAGTCTTAATGTTATTTGTTACATAANCGTATTCATGCATTTGTTTTGCTCGCCCGCCGCATCGCGCGATTCGCTCGGTACATTTCGCCGGTCGCTTCGCCGGTCGCCGGTGCGCGTGGCTTGTTAGGTACATTTCTATGCGCTTGTTTTAGTCGCTAGACGCTTCGCCGTTCGCACCGCGCGAATATTCGCATCGGCGAATGTCCCGTGGCCAGGCTGTTAGCGTAGCGTTGATCAAACCCGACTGGCCGCGAGCGGCGGCCGAGTCGTGGCGCAGGCGACGACCAGTACGTACGCAGCTATACATAGTCGGGGTCTTTGCCGCATACTAGCGGTTGCGCCCGACTATGCTTGTGTAAATAATATAATTTTGAGTAGTGTTGTGAATGTATGATTGTTTGGCGTATTTGTGTACTGTATGAGAGTGTGTTATAGAATACGTAATTAAATAATTGATATAATATTAAATATTGAGTAGGTGTGCAATGTAAATTAATAAATAATATGAACTAATATACATAAATATAGTAGAAACACCTACAACTTCCAACTATGAAAAACTTTGATCTATAAACTATGAAAAAATAAATTTTAGAACACAATGTTCTAAAACTTATCTTATTTAGCGTAATGCTATTAAGATACTCAAGATGGATTTTATATTGAGTTGTCTGTAGGCTCCGATTACCACCGATTAGCCTAAAGGACTGTGAGTTCAATTTCACCTTTAGCAACAAGACAAATTAATAAAAGTATAAAACCAAAATAAATTAAAAAAATATATTTATTTAAAAACTTTTAATTAAAATAATACATTTTCACTTAAAACAATATCATCTACTTTTTGTAGGCAGTGGAATAACATTCTTGTATACATAACTATAGAGTCTCATGATTTATTAAATCGTTTTAAGAATCCTGTATCGATTCGCTTCTGCAAGTCGTGTAGATCATCCGAGCAGTTCCGAAATAATATCGAATAGCAAACAATCGATTAAAGTCGATTCAGCTCGACTTTATCGATAAATCTGCCGATAGTATCGATGTTTTGTGACCCGATTTTGCGATGTCGAAAAAAAAGCTTGAGTAATAAATAATAGTTTAAAAAAACGAACAAAATACGCATTATTGAAAATTGAACTAAAAATATATATTTTTTTAATAAATTTGAATTAAAAATAGTGCAAAAAAAAATTATTGTATTGTAAAAAAGCGTGGAGTGCTTTTCAGGATATTATCAAAATAATCCTTCTACTCATATCTGTTCATAAAATATTTTAACTACTGATACCATGCACCCCACGGTTTTTTTATAATAAATTGTATTTTTGTATTTTTTATATTGACTGTATTTTTAATATTGAATTGTCACCGGTCCTTAATAAGTATACCAAATGTCGAGTTAATCCGACATTTTGAAGGGGGTCAGAATCATGTTCAAAGATTCCGTTACATACATACATACGTCTGAAGCTAATAAAAGCGTATTAATAACGAACATTGCATGATACAATCGAGCGAAGCAGAAATCGACATAGCGAATGTTCCTTCCGCTACCGATACACACACTTACCATCAAGTCAGTTTGGAGATGCATATGCTATCTTACAGAATAAAAGAAATAAACTATATAACCTCTCTTCTGCAATACTATATTTCGCATGAGAGCCCACGGGAAGACTTGTTACATTGATTATTTTATTTAAAAAAAATATTACACTTTCTATGTAATGATCAGTCACGAATTTATAAATCTACATACATTAGAACGTCTGAAAATAATAGTACTGTTTGCAAAAACAATATTGCCGCGTTTTCTTTTAGAAACATTATTTAATTACGCGTCAGATGGCGCGTGAGTAGTCTCTACTTATATATGTATTACATACAACTGTACACACTTAAAACAATGAAAGGTCATTTTCAGTAAATAACATAGCTTGTCTTATGGTTTAAAATGTAGGTCATGTTTCAACGGTACTTTTTGTTCGTCCTATAATTTTCTATATTTTCATTTATTCAACGTTGATTTTGGAATGTAGTTTTTTTTTTAAATTTAATTTCTATTTATCTTGTAACTGTACGTAGTTAGCCGGGAACAGACCGTAGGCGCCTTTGCACAATCCCTGCCACCAACCCTCGTCGATCTGTAAACAAAATTACACATTGAAGACATGACTGGATGAAGGGGATATGAGGTAGGACCTCTTGTGAGTCCGCACTGGTAGGTACCACCGCCCCGCCTATTTCTGCCGTGAAGCAGTAATGCGTTTCGGCTTGAAGGGTGGGGCAGTCGTTGTAACTATACTTGAGACCTTAGAACTTATATCTCAAGGTGGGTGGCGCATTTACGTTGTAGATGTCTATGAGCTCCAGTGACCACTTAACACCAGGTGCGCTGTGAGCTCGTCCACTCATCTAAGCAATAAAAATAAAATAAAAAAGGTTTGTTAATTTTGAGAAAATGGGCAACAAAAATTGTTACCTTCATACATAACTTCTTCATCATAATGCAAATGCAGTGCTAGAACATCACTTATGCAAATTATGTAATTTTTCAGGAGAAGAATTTGAAAATTCAACAAGTTATTACAATTATATATAGTTCTTATCGACTAAAGAAATAAAATGATAATATTTAAACTACAGCTTTTAACGTTATCAATAAAAGTTAATATCTCACTGATAACCATTAAAGAAATGGATTTTCTCAAACTCAGTTCAGTTTTAACAAGAATCGCATATGTGACATTATAGTTCTGTATGTGCGATATGCTATTTTTAAAAACAAGCCTTTAAACCCAGAGTTTTAAGGTCTAATATGGTTTGTAGGCACATAAAGCCTTCATTCAATATAACAACTCAAAAATCTTAAAAATAGTACTTAACCCCTTAATCCATTCATGTTTTCCATTATATCACATTATTTGGTTTAAAATGGTAATTTATTAAAACATATTTTTAATGTTTGAGATATTACTGGTGGCTCGGAGGCCTTTCCAGTTTCACCAGGATATGTGGGCGAGCAAAGGCTCAACCAAGAGGGGTGGGATTTGCTAACAGCTGCCCGAGCGCCTTCGAAGGAGACCTAACAGCTCAAGAGCAGCTGCTTCGCGAATGAATCTACTACCGGATCGGAATCGCGACCCAGTGAGAAGACCCAGCGAGAAACTCAGCGGGCTGATGATGGGTTAGGTTGCACGGCGAACTCTTTGGCAAGTTCGACGAGTACGGTTACCGGGGCTCCTCAGCCTGCTCCTAGTGTTAGAGCTGAAGGCTTCTAATGCAAGGGTTATTGGATCTGATGGATCCGTAAGGACGTGTCTAGGGCGTCGCCGGTGACTGGCTCCTGCGTGATCAGGATTCGAGTAGTAAGTCCGCGGCGGCAAAAATAAGACTATTATCACGACGCCTTATCGCAGTACCGTTCCGACGCTGAGCATTAAAATTATGAGGATTCGAATTTATTACATAACGCTCCCCCCTCGCCCTTCAATCTGAGCAGGGTGGTGTGAGCGCGTGTTACCATGACGATGTTGGTGATGACGTCATCAGGATCGAAGGATATCTCGTCGGGCGCGGCGGCCTGGTAGTCGTACAGCGCCCTCGCGGTGTAGCCGTCCTCCTCGTCGCCGCCCTCGTCCTCCCCCTCCCACCCCACCGGAGACACCACAATGGTGGGCTGGCGGTTCATCTGTAAAATTGCGAGTCATTGTCTCACAGCGATTACCACAATGTTCATAAGCAGTACAAGCAGGTTTTTTTGTTGCCATCCTACTTGGTGTTAAGTGGTTATCGGAGCCCATAGACATCTACATGGTGACACCTACTTTGAGACATGAGTTCTAAGGTCTCAGTATAGTCACAACGGCTGCCCCGCCCTTCAAACCGAAACGCATTACTGCTTCACGGCAGAAATAGGCAGGGTGGTGTTACCTACACGTGCGGGCTCACAAGTGGCCCTAACACCAGTAATTTACGCAAATTAAAATTTTAACGGGTTTAATTTTTATTAAACAATGTTATTCCTTCCGCGTGGAAGTCAATCGCGAACATTTGTTGAGTACGTATTTCATTAGAAAAAGGCACCGGACATCTTATCCTTTAGGCCACGACGACTTTTTCTACTTCAAGTTGAGAGGCAGTTGTCTAGCTGCCTATTCTATAGTGAATCTCTCGGTAGACCTCACGCCGCCGGGGATAGGAGCTGATGGTGATATATTGTATTGATATTAAAACTCAATTTCACTAACCTCTTCTTTCCCCTCCTTCGCTTCTCCCACCAGGGTGACATCGGGCAAGTTCTTTGTTTCTTCTTTCACATCCTCTTCCCTCACAATCTCCTCTTGTCTTGCATTATTACCAACTGTGACATTTTCTTCCTCTCTTGCTACCTCTTCTCTTGGGATCTCCTCTTGGACAATCTCTTTCTTGACTTCTCTTTCTTTGACCTCTGCGGAGTGTGGAGTGGCTCGCAGTACGCTGGTCGGTGTGTCGTCCGGCGCGGGCTGCAACTCTTCAGGTTCGGGAGACTCGGGTTTGTTGGCTACGCGTTCTCTCTCCTGCATTAATAATGTATTGTTTAATTATTATGTTTATAATAAAGGTCGATATAATGTATGAAGTCAATATGTGCGGAATGAAATTTTACATAATTAGTTTCACTTAGGTGATTGAATTAAACGGTGTTATATTAAGAAAATAAGATGTGCTCTGGGTAGCGCGGCCCTCCGCTGCGGGCAGGCCGCGTCTACACGTCAGGAATATAAAAGCGGCGTACCTTTAGCGAGATGTCCTTGTCGATCTTTTCCCTCTGCTGCCGGATCCTCTGCACCGACTGCAGCGCCTCCTGCAACACACACGTCACGGCATGTAAGAACCTCCAGCACGCGGACCCCTCATGGCGCGGAGTCTCATATTTATTTATTTATTCCATTCAATACAAAGTCAGGCTTACAGTCTGCACCAAAACGCGTGCCTCGTTAACACAAAAAACATTATTAAAATTATTAAGTACTATTATTATGCTAAAAATAACATTATTTTGGAAAAAAAAGTATTCCCCAACTATCGGCAAACACGTCAGCATCCTAGATTTCAGACAGAAATTCGTTTAACTGCGCAATTGCCCTGACCGTTGGACAATAACATCAGCCTTCATCCAGTGCAACTGTGTTCCTACCTCTTCTTTTTCCTTGGCCATGTTTTCGAACTTGGCACGTATGGACGAGGGCTTCGCCCCGCCGATGTCGGGCTTCGGTCTCGTGTAGTTGGTGCCGACCTTGTCCGCGGCCCCGAAGGCGTGCGCCGACTTGTCGACGCGGTCCGACTGCACGCCGAACTTACCGCCGAAGCCCTGTAGATTCATTTGGAATGTAAGCGTCACCGCAGTGTAGAGACACAGTTTATTAGCGCAAGCAGTTTTGTACATCGATTGCATTAGTCAGTCGTACATAACCCACCCGACACGTGAGAAGTACAACGCCATCTATTGTCGAATGGCGGAAACGTATATCTAAAATACTCGACTTGCCCAGAATGTTTTCGAAAATTCTAGGGATGTCGTATCAACTATGAAAGCGTTGTAGAGATGGCACGCAGTCAGTCAGTAATCGTAACTACTCGAAGTGAAACAGCGAACGGATCACCTGAAGCGAAGCGGAAGAAATGAATTGCGAATTTTAGTGAGTGTTCCAACTGCTAAGACAGTTTAAATTTATACTACGGTAGAATTTTTATTTATCCTGAACCCCAACGCGTAATAATACATTACCGTAACATAATAACCATGTGGTAAACATAATGGTAATGACTGAATTAACTAGGTCACCAGAGTCTCTGTCCAGATACAGAATTCGACAATGCTTTGTCTTCAAATACACCTTCACAAGTGCTGTGGGATCATCATGACCTGGTGCTAGGACGTCTTGTGAGTCCGCAGGGTAGGTACCACCGCCCTGCCTATTGCTGCCGTGAAGCAGTAATGCGTGTCGGTTTGAAGGCGGGGTAGCCGTTGTAACTATACTGAAACCTTAGAACTCATATCTCAAGGTAGGTGTAAATGTCTATGGGCTCCAGTAACCATTTAACACCAGGTAGGCTGTGAGCTCGTCGACTCATCTGAGCAATAAAAAAAACATGTGTAATTCACACAGGGTAGAAGTGAAACTGTCAAAAATTAAAATATATGTAAGTAAGTCTAAGTATATGTAAAATTTTGTCATTAGTAAATAATTGTAAATCAACTTTTATAGTATGTGGTAGCGCCCTCTGTGAATTGATATTTTAACTTCACGTATAATGTGTTCTATCTCATTCTCTCGCCGGCTGATTCCTGTACATTTATGTGTTTGTGTCTCTACGGACTAATTTTTTCGTTTCGTTTCATTTCGTTTCATCGAGTTTAAAATCACAACGATTGTAAAGAAGTTTCACTTCAAAAAAGCTACTTAGGTCGGCAGTAGCGTTACTAAGAACGTTGGCGAGGATCTGCAGGAGCACCTTTTTGTGGTCGAGCTGGCTGGCGTGCGCGGGCGTCTTCTCCTGGTGGTCCCAGCCGACGGCCGACGCGTCCTGTCGGTCCGTCTGCACGCCGAACTTCCCGCCGAAACCGATGGCGTAGTCTGAACGAACAAACCGACATTCTTAGCACGTATATAGAGACCAGTCAACTTGATGAGTTTATTAATATGCGTCGAGATGTCTTCGAACCGTTCACGAAGAGGACAACCGGCTGATGTTTTTGGCAATATTTTTTTTAGTGCGCAATGTAGTACAATTAAAAATGAAGAGGTCAACAAACGAGAATACGATGTCATGAACTACTAACTTACTAAGCAAATACTTATGCACAGTTAATTTTTTGAATATTTTCTAAATTTACTTGTAAGTAATTACCATGTCAATCTACTTTTTTAAAAAATATGAGAATTTTAAGAAATTTGAAATTATAAACCCATCTCCATAATATGTCTAGTAAACAAAATGACGAGTGGCATGCGTACGTGTTAGAGGTAGCTAAATAAATCTGTTTCTTTTTCATCTTTTTTTTCCTCTACCTTAGCCTTGAGAGGTTATATCAGCGTGACTGGACGAGTAAGGTATATTTATGGTACAATATATAGAGCATTAGTTGCTGAGATTTTTCCTTTTTTTATTTAAGTTTTTCCTACCTAAGCTGATAGCCTCGAGAGGCTATTTCAGCGTAACCTTTACTAGTAGGTGAGCTCACGGGCCTCAAACCGGAGTGTTGCTAACACGAACCCTAGCAAGAGCAGTGCTTCGCAGAATCTACCACCGGATCGGAAACGCGACCCACTAAGATCCGGAGAGAAACTCAGTGGGCTGTGTCTGTGGGTTAATTCGCTCGACGAGTTCTACGAGAAGATGGGTGGACGAACTCACAGCCCACCTGGTGTTAAGTGGATACTGGAGCCCATAGACATCTACAACGTAAATGCGCCACTCACCTTGAGATATAAGTTCTAAGGTCTCAGTATAGTTACAACGGCTGCGCCACCCTTCAAACCGAAACGCATTACTGCTTCACGGCAGAAATAGGCAGCGCGGTGGTACCTAACCGCGCGGACTCGTAACAGATTCTACCACCAGTACTACTAGACACGTTTCGGGCTACGGCGGCTTTGCGTTACCCCGTCGCGGTCGGATAAAAGGCACATTAGTGCACGGGAATCGCCTATATGTATAGGTTTACTCGTCGAGCCCTTCGTTGCAAGCGACGGGTTCGACGAGGACCATGACCGGAAACTCCGATGCATTACCTTTTTGCGAGTGATGTTGTTGCGCGTCCTCCTTGTGGTCCCAGCCCAGCGCGGAGGCGTCCTGGCGGTCGGCCTGCACCCCGAACTTGCCTCCGAACCCGACCGCGTAGTCTCGCTGCGACGGGTGTTTCTCGACCTGCTCGCGGTGCTCCCAACCCGCCGCGCTCTGGTCAACAACCCGCTCATTATACGTTTATATTCACAGACCTGGTGGCTCCAAGTCGACGGTGACATTTACGTTGTAACATACCGACATCTCTCCGCCGACCCACCTTACAAATAACACACAATATACAAAACAAAACTAGGCAGAATTTAAAACAGCCTGGTGGTAGGAACTCTTGTCAGTACTGGTGGTAGGACCTCTTGTGAGCCCGCGCGGGTGGGTATCACCACCCTGCCTATTTCTGACGTGAAGCAGTAATGCGTTTCGGTTTCAAGGGTGGCGCAGCCGTTGTAACTATACTTGAGACCTTAGAACTTATATCTCAAGGTGGGTGGCGCATTTACGTTGTGGATGCCTATGGGCTCCAGTAACCACTTAATACCAGGTGGGCTGTGAGCTCGTCCACCGACCTAAGCAATAAAAAAAATTTTAATCTTAAATTTCTTTTTGTTTTATTATTATTATATTTATTTTATTCCGAAATTGTAGCTATTGTTTTTATTTAATTCTGGTATACTACATGAAATGTTAATGAATGTAATATTGATGCGAAATCTGAAGTCAATGAGATATAAAAAAAGGTATAGTACAAATAGAAATTAACCTTACAATCTATTTTGTTAGTCTTTGAAAGAGCTGTCAGAGAGTCTGTACTAAGTTCAAAGATCTGTATTACTGATCTCCAGGCTTGTGTGTGCTTGACTTTGTGTTGTGTACATGCTCTGGTGACCAACAATCACCAAGTTTGCGAGTCCTCCCCCAACTTTTTTCTTTTCTTAGGTATGCTCCACAATAAAGCCGCTGTGGACTTTCTGGCGGGATCGCGAGGAGTGAAGTTGTGTGATTTGTTTTATTTTGTCTATTTAGTGTTTCTTCAGGTTTAAATATGTAATAACGGTGGTTTATTAACTGTTTAGTATCTGTGAACGTGCACAAATGTGGGAAAATGAAACAAGGCCGCTGAACGTAACTTCTCGGGAACCTCCAAACAGTCCCCTAAAAAAGTCTCAGTAATTGAGCACCATTTTACTGAGATTATATTTCATTCCATATCATATTTAATAGTAATCAACTTCATTTCATATCATTTTTCTAAAAAAGTTTTCGTTAAAATTAAAATAAGACTTGACCTAAAGGTCTTAGTTACCAGGTCATAAAATCCCTTTAAAAAAAAAGCGCTCTAGTGTTACCTTGTCGACCCTGTCGGTTTGGACGCCGAACTTGCCTCCGAAGCCCTGCGCGTAGTCGGTTTGCGAAACGTGCTTCTCTACTTTGGCTACGTAGTCGTGCCCCACCGCAGACTTATCCATGCGATCCGCTTGGACCCCGAACTTGCCACCAAAACCTGAATTTTTTTTATGGCAATATCTTTTTGCACTTTTGGCAACTTTATGCCAGTTTCAAGTAAAAATTAGGGAAACAACACGCGAAAAAAAAAAACAAAGGAAACCTGAACATTTATTCGAAGACATGAGTGGATGAAGGGGGTTAAGTACCATTTTTAAGATTTTTGAGTTTTTACATTGAATGAAGGTGTTATGTGCCTATAAACTATATTATGCCTTAAAATTCCGGGTTTAAAGGCTATTTTTAGAAATTCCACGCGATGAAGGAGATAAGTACGAAGAAAAAGTACAAGTAACAAAAGTTCGTTGACCGTTTTCTCAAAAGTAACAAATTGTATCATATCCTCTTTATCGACTAATGTCTTCATTTGAATTATAAGAATTCAAACTATAGACTGAGCGACAACATTACTTGAAGTACCACCAAATCTGCATTGACCACCAGAACCTTAACACCCAATGGTAGCTTTAGAAAACAGTCAATTATTATTTATATTACTTAAGTTTCTCTCTTGACTTCTTATACAATTTTTGGCTTAATTATTTTTAGAAATATTGTCCTATAAATAGTAACATATTAGGACCAATTAATGTAATTTCCTATACACAACATGAAAAGTTGAATATATCCGACACGGCTCTCATGTCTAGTGACTTTAGGCTACTTAATTTAGACAATTATTAAAGACATTCTGGGCCGGGACGTGATTCATCTTACATAGTATGTGTCTTTCATAATTAGGAGCCGTTGTATATGGCACGATAACGCCTTATAATAGAGATGAGCTTACCTTGAGCGTAATCTTTCTGCGAAACGTGTTTCTCGGTTTTTCCAACGTAGTCGTGTCCAACGGCTGATTTGTCCATGCGGTCAGCTTGCACACCGAATTTGCCACCATATCTGTCAAATTCGACGAGCTCATAAACTCATCATCTTTGGTAGGTCTTTCCATGTTATTAAAGAGCCTCTAGGCATTATTTCCTCATAAATGGTATATATTGTTACGCGCTAGGGCTCGACAGAAATAAAGCTTCCAGCGAAGTACTAATTAAAACTCTATTTAACACTTAGAACATCTTAGGAACACTTTACAATTCGCACTTCACTTCCGCTTCGCTTCACGTGATCCGTTCGCTGTTTCGCTTCGAATAGATTACCAACTGCCTTCATGTCATCTCTGCAACGCTTTTATAGTCGACACGACAAGACTACAATTATTGAGAACATTCTCTAGGGCAAGTCGTTCCGATATATTGATTCCGGTATTTGAAAATAGATGGCGTTGCACACCTCGAGCGTTCTCGATACTACTAGTTCTTTTGATATTCGTTTCTGTTATTGAATGACAGATGGCGTTATTCTTACCCACGTAACAATATAGTTTGTTCGCCATATAATCCACCTTAATCGTCACTGTTCTAGGTTCACTAACCTGAGACTTTTGTTATTGAAGACAACTACAAGTATACACTACAACAAAGTCTCAATTTAATAATAAGTATGCTATATGACATCTAGCATCTATTTACTTGAGCGAGCTGACATAACATGCACTATAATTAATTTAACATGTTGGTTTATTTTATGCAATGTTAATTCATCAATCATTAATTCATTAGTGTACTTGTTTTACTACTTAAGAATACACCTTATTCAGGCTATACCAGGCTTTACTGGGTCAGGCCCTGGAAACCACATTTAAAGTTGATCACATACCCAAATGAAGGTTTCGGTCCAGCCTCATACTGTTTCTTCTTGGCTAATTTGTCAGCTTCAAATACCTCTTCACGTAATTTTGCCATGCTATTAAAGAATTATAATAAAATTGTAATAGATGCAGACTAATATGGGTACATATTACATAATATAATAAATATTATTTTATTTTTTTCTTAGATGAAAAAAAATATAATAATATAAACTATGTTTAGTATCTGGTGCGTATATTGAGCACTAGACCCCAGATCTCTTACCCACTCTTTAGAAAGGGACAGTTTAGATTTAAAAAATTGTATATGTTAAATTTTTTCAAGCATGACTAGTTCATTATAGATAAATGATATGTCTGAAAACACAAAAAAACATTTACAAAGCGGCCTCAACATTGCAGATTGCTTTCTTTACATCAAATGGTATTCATTAGGTACGCTTGTATTAGCCTGTATTGAGGTAGACCAACTTTTGTGTTTCTTAATTTAAGTAAGTTAAATAATCAAACTTTACAAACAATTATGTGTAAAATTAGGGTAGCCAATAACGTTGCAGAAAAGTGTCATGCTTTCCCAAAAATATTTATTCACACTGTGTAATTGACATACGAAAATACATGTAAATGCAGTCCCAACCATGTTCTTCAACAGTATAAGCTTTATAATCGAACCTCTTCAATTAGGTTAAAAAACATTGCTCACTCAATTGCCTCAACATTCCTTCCGGCGGGCCCCCATCTTTGTTCCTGTTCACTGACATCATTAACATAGTCGGGATCAGTTTCCCAATCATCTGCTTCAGCAGGCTCTGGCGCCTTCACATTAGTAGCAGCTTTCCACATCTGTGAGTGAAATGTTTGAACTGATATTTTGGAGAAATGACTTATGTGCAAATTATAGATTGGAAACAGGTGCTATTGTCAGGTTATTTCTAACACTCTAAAACAGTGTTTCCCAACCTTTTTTCTGCCATGCCCCACTGTCACTTTACTAAAAATTTTATGACTCCAATATCTAATTTTTAATATAAAAAAATTGATTTGTTCACTTAAGTTTTAAGAAGAAATCACTACGAATTTGTTATCAGAACACTGTAAGTAATATTTCAAAATATATAATAAAAGACTGAAATTCAAATTCAAAACAATTTTAATACAGATTTTCTATATTAATTTAGTGCATTGCCCCCTTTAATCATCAAATTGCCCCCTTGTGGGGTGTGGGCCTCACGTTGGGAAACACCACTCTACAATGTAGTGGGAATGACATTATGCACTCTCAATTAAAATCAAAAGTAGTATCAGTTTAAATGAGTGGAGCAAAAATTCATCTTGTAATGTTTGCAATTACATAATTTTCTGTTGTATATTTGTAATTTAATCAATTGTAAAGATTTCTTTAAACTTGACATAACAAATCCGTGTAGTCTAAAAACATATTTGGGTATAGGCTCATATCATGTGGCAAAACTGCTTTGCAAATAAAAACACAGGAGGTGCATATGTAATTTGATGACCCCCTAAGAATTAGAAACAAATTAATTGATTTTAACATGTAGTGTACTCTCTTGGACAAAGTCAGTGGACAATGCCAGAGACACAGTTATGCTGATGGTACTTGCAAAAATATCGAATGATATAAGGTTGATGATGCCATGGACAGGACGTGTAGTCATGACCCCCAGCATTGATTGAACAAGATGCTTTTAGTAGGTTTTAATATTTTCTTATTTTTTCCAAACAATTTATCTGTCTACTTACTAATACTTTTACAGAGGACTGATAATATTTGCACTATCTGAAGAAAAAATTAGATAAACATTTTGATAACACGAAAAAATTATATTTACGTAAACAATCAGATACTTATTTGATGACTTATATTGGAATAACAAAACTATACTTATTATTGGAATAGCAAAAGTTCAATATTGACTTGAGAGCAAATTTATTAGTAGTAATCTAAATTAATTCACCTTATTCCTTTGAACCGGTTGAGGAAAACAAACACGTTTTTAAAGTTCTATTTTAAACTTTCACTTTTAACGCATAAAAAATTATCGACTGGTTAAAATGTCATCGATATATTTTAATGGTAAGAATTTTTTAACTCTAAAAAACGTTTTCACAATTTGTTTTTACTTTCATATTTTGTATTTGGATAAAATTTTGGGCGATGGTTTTTGTGATGCGTCAGCCTCTGACAGATGTCATCGTTGTCAAATAGAATCACAGACTATACACCATAGATTATACACTTAATATATCTGCTATACACTAAAATATACGAGATATACAAAAAAATAAAATTTATAAAAATATAAAGTAGTTACATACCACATAATATGTCAATAACATTATTCATTTTCTACTATCAGTTTGAGCAATTTATTAGAACTGTTAATAACTCAACCGTTTAGCATATTTTTGTTTATGTGATCTTCAATGTAATTAACTTGAAGAGTGACGATCTTGGTGACGGTTCACCCAATCTGAAAGGAATGGGTGAACCACCTCGATGATCGAGGGCGAGATCAAGCTTCCAACACTGCCAGCTGAGCAATCAGCTTACGTTTTCCAACGAACACCAATTCCAGGAAGATGCTTGCCTCGTTTACCAGTATCCATCCTTTCGAATCACCACTCACGTGCGGAAGTTTCAACGATCGTCCACTTTGTGCTCATAGACCCTGAGTTTAACCCTATATCCGAAATGGCTGTCTTCGTTTACAATATGGGCGTCGGCAGGTGGCCTGTGACAAGTGGTGAAGGGGGCAAAATCCTGAATTTTCCAAGGATGCCACCAAAGTCACCCCTTCCCTTTACTATCGTATGAAAGAATAACGATCAACTCGGAGCTCAACGCATAAGACGTTGCATTGTCATTCAATGACATGTTTTAATTATTATTAAAATACATATTTTCATTGCATTAACTTTATTCCGTAAAATACAACACTTACAACTAAAATATCACAAAAAAAAAAAAAAACAAACACCATACAAAAAACAACTATTAAATAAACATACTTTTATTAGCTATGTAGATACCTCCACAAACGTACCACACTATTAGAAACACGTTTACTTGATGAGAGCTTATCTGTTTCTATGATATTTGATACCAAAGAAAAAACACATACTAATTATTAAAAAAATATCTGTCATTAACTAACATTGACTAATCCTAGGTTGCACACGTTTATTTGTAATTCCTCAATGTTTAAGCAACGAAATACGAAATTCTCGATCTAGACAGAAAAAAAAAACCGAATCAAATAGGTAGACAAATCAATTAATTTGTTTTTTTATTCTACTCTATTCTAATTAAAATAATACACCATTAAATAAAACAAATAGGTAAGTATATCATGAAGATGTTTAACATTCACATACGTATTTCTTTATTAATTATTAATTTAACTCAAGCATACTAATTAAGCATACTAATAAATAATTTAACTAATTAAAGTTTAATATTATTACACATTTTTAAAAGTCACTTACATCACCTGACAAATAAAAAATCTTTATTTGGACTTTATGACCCAATTCTATTGCTGTTATTATAAAAAGTGGGTTCTATTCTTAATACGGATCATCAATATTCCATGAATTATAATGAATTACATTGAATTAAAAATAATCAATAAACTATCAAATAACATATGTAGGTAGGTCACTTTTGTTGTTAGACTGTCTGAAGAAACCAAAAGTGAGATAATGTGGATGAACCAGATCCGAAGTCTGAAGTAAGCATTCATTAATCGCGTCAAACTGAAATAAGCCCTATAGCTTAGGTAACATATCGTTTAATATCTATATTTCTCTTATTTTAACCTGTATTATTTGCGGACACGGAACGAGAATTAGTGGATCTGTGAATGCTCACGCATGTGTTGCAGTCCAAGCCATCAAAAATCTATCGTTTTGACACTTTCTTATTCCGAAATACCCTCAATTCGTTTTATTTTACGATATATTTCAAAACTCAGGGTCCGGCGCGTCTGTGGCGTAACCAAATTTCTGCAAAGCCAGTTTGATGTCACCGAAGACCGATGGATCTTCTATAGTGGAAGGTATTTTCACTGACTGAGACCTGGCCAATTTGGCAATGGCACCTCTTAGCGCCTTCCCTGATCTGGTCCTCGGTAGGGCGGGAACTGCCACAGCTTTGCGGAAAGCTGCGATCGGCCCAATGAGATGACGGACCAGAGCAATCAGTTCTTGTGTTACTGTGCTTTCGGCTACTATTTCTTCGTCTGAAAATAAATCTGTTTGAAAATACGCTTAGCATTTTACGTGTAGTAGTTAAAGATCTTTATGGGAAAAAATGCCCACTGAGTTTCTCGCTGGCTCTTCTCAGTGGGTCGCGTTTCCGATCCGGTGGTAGATTCTGCGAAGCACTGCTCTTGCTAGGGCTAGTTAGCAACACTCCGGTTTGAGCCCCGTGAGCTCACCTACTAGTAAAGGTTACGCTGAAATAGCCTCTTAAGGCTATCAGCTTAGGTAGGAAAAAATTAAATAAAAAAAAGGAAAAATGTCAGCAACTAATGCGCTATATATTGTACCATAATATACCTTACAGTGATTAAAATAAAATACAAAATCACCAAGCTCACCGTCTTGCGGAGGTCTCATGACGTAGAGGCAGAGAGGCACGTCGCCTTTAGTTGGGTCCGGTGCTCCAACCACGACAGCGTCCGCTACCCTCGTGTGTCGTAGCACGACATCTTCAAGAGCCGCCGTAGACAGCCGGTGTCCAGCTACGTTGATGACGTCATCAGCCCTGGCTACGACCCACACAGCCCCGTCTAAGCTAATCCAGCCCGCATCTTGGGTGTCGTAGTAGCCCTAGACATTTAAGTTTTGAATTGTTATGTCAATGAATATGTCTATGAGGTGAATACACACACAGTCTATCTTGAGACACCAAGGTTCAGAAGATATGTGGGAGACCCTCATTATCACGACAACTAAGTATATTAATATCTACTATATTATATTTATAATATATCTACTATGTTACTACTATATTATTTTTATTACTGGTGGTAGGACCTCTTGTGAGTCCGCGCGGGTAGGTACCACCGCCCTGTCTATTTCTGCCGTGAAGCAATAATGCGTTTCGGTTTGAAGGATGGGACAGCCGTTGTAACTATACTGAGAGCTTAGAACTTATATCTCAAGGTAGGTGGCGCATTTACGTTGTAGATGTCTATAGGCTCCAGTAACCACTTAACATCAGGTGGGCTGTGAGCTCGTCCACCCATCCAAGCAATAAAAAAAAAATCTAAATATATTTGCAATTTTGTCTCTTCACCTACCGGATAAGCCTCGAAATAGATTTTCTTGAATCGTTCATCAGATCGCCACAGTGTTGAAGCGAATCCTGGTGGGAGAGGCAGCTTCGCAACCAGCCTACCCACTTCACCGGGCTTGCATTCCATTCCGTCCTCTCGAAGTGTACGAACTAAGGATCAAGTTTTACAAAAATGTAAGCTATGGTCGCAATGCTTAGATTAGCCTGATTTATAAGAAGACCCCGTCTCTCTCCCCCGCTGTGGTTCTGTGATTATGATATCTACACTGACAGCTCACTGTCTCACTCACTAGTATGGCAAACGGGTATTTGTGTAGGTACTCATTCTTATCGTGGATATCTAGTACACATTATGTTCTCGGCCATCTACTAAAGTTTACGATCAATAGCTTATTAATTAACCAATATAAAAAAGAAGGAGGTTCTCAATTCTACTGTAATTTTTTGTGAAATATTTAGTATTTTTCGTGCACGATTTATTAATATTAGCTTGGATTTTTGCAGGTTCTACAACGACACTATCAATGTTGGCATTCCACAAGGCACGGTGTTTCTCCTACATACCTTTCGCCCATATCTTAATTTGATTCTTTACAGATTAGGGTTGTCCGGATTGTCGACAAGCCTGATTTTATGGATCTTTAAAGCCTTTGGGTCTTCGGAGGGACTATGATTCACTTTATGTTATATACTCTATATTCCATGGACAATATCCTGAGGAAAGTCAAATGTTTCCGTCAAGTCCTTTTATCAATACACCACCCGCCATTGGTGCACAGTTCATCCTTACCAATTAGAACCACTGCATTCATCTACAGTGTAGATCATGTTTACCATGCTCCATCTGGATTCGAATTAGGAATGAACTTCCTTCCACTGCATTTCCTGAGTGCTCTGAAATTCTTCGAACAACTATGAAAGGATTTCTGGGCGGTACGCAACTATTACCCTGATATTGGTGACTCACCAAGTGGCCGAGGGCTCGTCGGTCGTCGAAGGCAATAGAAACTAACTTACTGTCATATCCAGCGACTGGATAGCCAGCGGAGTAGGGCGGCACAGATTTGACGCCGTAACCAAGGCAGGGTGCGGTGATCGGGGACCCCGATTCAGTTTGCCACCAATGATTGAGTACTGGCACCCCGAAGACACGTTCAGCCCATTGCTGTACAATAAAGTTCATAATAAGTACCATAAGTGGCTGGTGTTAGGCAATTATCGCCGCTTATCCTACACCCCGAAGCTTATAAAATCCGGCTTCGGTAGTGAGTTCAAATGCATTCGAATATTTTCGCGGCAAAAAACAAGCAAGACGGTGCTAACTATAAATTCCGAGCAAGTTCATAATACCCTCTTTCACCGGTAAAAATCTCTTATCGGCGTCCATAGACAGTCGTGATGGAAAATAATATCAAACTAAAATAAATATACCTTTACGGTTTCATTTTGCTTTTTTCATTGGGTTTATAATTATTATAATTGCGACTTTTCGTATAAAGCATACAGTTACATACATAGACAGTTTTCGTTTTATTGTTTGTAAAGTATTAATGTATCTGTTAAAATGCTCTCATTATACAAAAAATTTTTTTTTTGTTGTTGCTTAAATGGGTGGACGAGCTCTCAGTCCACCTGGTGTTAAGTGATTACTGGAGCCCATAGATATCTACGACGTAAATGTGCCACCCACCTTGAGATTTAGGTTCAAAGGTCTCAAGTATAGTTACAACGGCTGCCACACCCTTCAAACCGAATGCTTCACGGCAGAAATAGGCAGGGTGGTGGTACCTACCTGCGTGGACTCACAGGAGGTCCTACCACAAGGAATTAATAGCATCCACATAAACACTTTGTCGAACAAGCTATTCCAACAAAAGTTTGTATAATCCTGACCAAATGTTTTTTTGAAAAACCCATAAGTACCCTTGTGTCCTGATCGCAATGCTCTCCAGCAATGAAGACCGTCTTTAGTGATTTCTGGCAGTATCTCCTCGCGTATTTAGCGTTAGGATCGGCTCGCTTCAGCACCCTGAATGCCGTCGGAATCGTGAATAGAGCGTTTACACGGTGTTGCTCTATTATCCTGTAAAATTGGTGAAATAAAATTTGTGGAGGAAAAAAATAGTTTGCTGATACAATAGACATCGACTAATGCTGCATTGTGTAGTCAGCGAATCTTAATGATAATATTTAACTCCCTCGTCTTGTCAATTTCAGTCGCCCGGTGGAAGATCTTCCCTTTACCCCAAACCTAACCCCAATCCCTAGTATTTACCTTCCTAGTTCATACTGAAATACTGGATAAATGCTGGATGTAGAACTTGATGTTTAAATGCTATTGCAGTCAATTTACCCCAGTAATGGGAAGCTGTATTCACGTCGTCATGTTTGCGTTACGTTTACGAGCAAGTTACCTTAAAAACGTGAATGCATACACAATCCCAATATTAAAGAGAATGGTGCATGTCAATAGCTAAGCTAAGCTAAGCGCTGTCAGACGACCAGGTAATTTAAACGTAGTCTTCACGTATTGTTGATATAAGTTAGTGTTAATATAAGTCTTTCAGAATAAGTGAAAAGACACTAAGTGCTCGAACGACCCAAATGAATTGTAGGCTGACGAGCATACGGCCCACCTGATGGTAAGTGGTCACGGTCGCTCATGGACGTCAGCAATGCCAGGGTCAGAGCCAAGCCGCTGCCTACAATTAAGTACTCTCCGCAAGCCTCGTTTGAAGAAGGACATGTCATAGCGCTCGGATCTCTCACGTTTCTTCACGTGAGAAGTATGTCTAGTTTTTTGTAAGCCAATATAAAGATCAACCTGAAATATTGTCCAGGATCTGGTGTACGATCTGGTTTTCCTTCATACAGAACGGAAGTCATTCCAGCTAAGAGCGGACCGTAACAGATGTACGAATGACCGACCACCCAGCCCAGGTCTGACGCCGCCCACCACACTCCTCGTTGGAGACCATACACCTTTTTCATGGACCAGCAGAGCGTGGCTGCGTGGCCGCAGGGACGTTGGACACCTTTTGGGGCGTCAGTTGTACCTGTAAAAAGTATAATGTCAGTTTACTTCACTAAGGAATAAAGGCGAAATCAATAAAGAGTTTAAAATAAACAAAATGATATTAGTCGGTATAGCTTCATACATACAGAAAATAAATAAATAAATAGAAAAACCTTATAATACTAGTTGGACTGTAAATTAAAATTTATATCGGTGTTCAGGATAATAGGATGGATCACGATATTAGAAAAAAAACTAATAAAATTATTTTATACAAGTTTTTGAAGTCACGGAAAACTGGCTTCTATGACCGCGAAAACCGAAGAAGCTATAATATGTAGTACAATTTAGATCAATATACCATCCGACTTTGAATGAAATTCCCTCCACGGCATTTCCCGAGCGTTATGACATGCCCTTCTTCAAACTAGATTTCAGGGGAGTTTTCAGCAGTAGACAGTGGCTTGGCTATGGTCCTGGCATTGCTAATGTACAGTAGTGACAGTGGTCATTAACCACAAGCCGGCTGCTTACCATGGCAATAAATAAAATCAATGATTTTACTGAAACATGTTAACCCTATTATTGTAAAATGTGGAACGCATCGAAACAAATTACGGGGTCAAAGTATAAGTTTTTCATTTTAACGCAGTGTCCCATTTGAATTAAAATTTAACTTCATTCGGTACAATTTTGTACATTCGTAATTAAATATGTTTAAATAAATCAGCATGCAATTTGACTGACTTGATAGAGCAGTAGTTAGCAGCCTTGAATGTTCCGCCAATTCCGACATCGGGCAAACATTTTTTTCAAATTTGTTTGCTGTTTGTTTTATTTTTTATTGCTTAGATAGGTAGACGAGCTCACAGCCCACCTGGTGTTAAGTGGTTACCGGAGCCCATATACATCAATGACGTAAATGCGCCACCCACCCTGAGATATAAGTTCTAAGGTCTCAGTATATATTAGTTACAACGGCTGTCCCACCCTTCAAGCCGAAACACATTACTGCTTCACGGCAGAAAAAGGCGGGGTGGTGGTATATACCCGTGCGGACTCACAAGAGGTCCTACCACCAGTAATGAAGCAAATTATAATTTTGCGGGTTTGATTTTTAATACACGATGTTATTCCTTCAGCGTGGAAGTCAATCGTGAACATTTGTTAACAAGTAAATAATAAGAACATTTGGTATATATTTCATTAGAAAAATTGGTACCCGCCTGCGGGATTCGAACACCAGTGCATCGCTAGATCCGATATAGTCTTATACTTTAGGCCACGACGACATCAGTAAACACGAGTAATTTCAAATTTTAAATATATTAAAGGTGGTTGAAAGTCGTCGTGGCCTAAAGGATAAGACGTCCGGTGCATTCGTATCGAGCGATGCACCGGTGTTCGAATCTCGCCGGCGGGAACCAATTTTTCTAATGAAATACGTACTCAACAAATGTTCACGATTGACTTCCACGGTGAAGGAATAACATCGTGCAATAAAAATCAAACCCGCAAAATTATAGTTTGCGTAATTACTGGTGGTAGGACCTCTTGTGAGTCCGCACGGGTAGGTACCACCGCCCCGCCTATTTCTGCCGTGAAGCAGTAATGCGTTTCGGTTTGAAGGGTGGGGCAGCCGTTGTGACTATACTGAGACCTTAGAACTATATCTCAAGGTGTGTGGCGCAATTACGTTGTAGATGTCTATGGGCTCCAGTAACCACTTAACACCAGGTGGGCTNTTACTGGTGGTAGGACCTCTTGTGAGTCCGCACGGGTAGGTACCACCGCCCCGCCTATTTCTGCCGTGAAGCAGTAATGCGTTTCGGTTTGAAGGGTGGGGCAGCCGTTGTGACTATACTGAGACCTTAGAACTATATCTCAAGGTGTGTGGCGCAATTACGTTGTAGATGTCTATGGGCTCCAGTAACCACTTAACACCAGGTGGGCTGTGAGCTCGTCCACAAATCTAAGCAATAAAAAAAAAAAAAGGTGGTACATTCTGAATTAAAATTGTTTAATTTTTATTAAAATGATAAAATTTTGAAATGTTATCGTAAAATATTTTTTCTTAATTTTTAAAACAGATCTTAAATTTCAGTCATCATAAGTTATAGTATATTTTCCGTGATTACGTTATTATATTGAATATTTAAGTACGCTACGTACTTAGTTTTTTTTTTAGATTGTATCATTAAGATTAATTTATTTACAAACCTTGTGAATTTTTTTCCCTTTTGATTTCAATTTTAAATATAATAAATCTCCGGATATGAACTGTATATTAATTTGCTAATTAAAATGTTTTTTTTAAGTAATTATAATATTTATATTTCATTATCTGTGATCATTTCAATGGTAAGTGGTTCTCGGTGGTAAGTGGAATGATGCTATTAGACAATTAATCTCTTTAATTTTTGCTAAAAATAAACACTAGAGAAAAAAACGGGTCTTTATATTAATTTTATTGTAACCGAAAAACATCCAAAGATATAAGCCAAGGTTTTAAAGTTTATTTAAAGTTATATTTACAAGCGGGATCGATCGAATTATCGAATTAGTATAGAAAAAAAAACCATATCTCTCGAAAAAAGGACTTAATTTCCTAATTAAAAATGCTTTATCCCCACGTGCTTCTGTGTACCCCGGATAATGTGATGATTGGTTGAGTAGTTAAGAGTAAACAGGACAAACAAACAAGCAAGCTCACTTTCGCGTTTTATAACATGAAGTATTGGATAGAGATGAGCATGGCCATTGGTCCTTGATTCAGAAATGGACGTGAGGCAAGTTGTATCTTTTGGGCACGTGACATTATTCCTAAGCATCAATATACATAGATCGAGGGGTGAAAAAATTACACAACCAAAAAAACATCAACTATTTAATGGAGTAAGTAAGCATTAATTTGAGCGCAGTTTTAATTACAAAGATAAATGTCGCGTTTTAAGTAAAATGTCGCTTAAACCAAATAGCATTTCACATCTCGATATATACGAGTATCACGTGCTATTTATGCTTTAAAGCAAGTAATCCCCATTCAGACCCAATTCAGGATTTCCTATGGTATAGGTACCAGAAACTGATAAACATATTTAAATGTGTTTTTTTTTTATTGCTTAGATGGGTGGACGATCTCACAGCTCACCTGGTTTTAAGTGGTTACTTGAGCCCATAGACATCCACAACGTAAATGCGCAACCCACCTTGAAATATAAGTTCTAAGGTCTCAAGTATAGTTACAACGGCTGCTTCACCCTTCAAACCGCAACGCATTACTGCTTCACGGCAGAAATAGATACATAAATAGATAATAACACCCAGACAAAGAGCGGACAAACCTGTTCATCACAAAATGTTTGCCCGATATGGGAATCGAACCCACGACCTTCAGCGCAACGGTCAGAGACGCTAACTACTTACCGTACCGAGACGGCCGACGTAGAGTCGTCGACTATCGCCTCGACGACCCGTCGGTCGGGCGTCCTCAGGAAGGAGACGCGAGTCTGGTTGTAGAGCTGACCACGGGAGCCCCCCCCCACTCTGCCTGGGTTCTGACCCCGGGTGGAGATTGGACGTCGGGTGAGAGAGTGCAAGGGGAGTCGTTTGGTGGGTAGGGCCCTACAACATCCTTGAGCCCGTGGTCTGCTCCCAAGTGAGTCAGCCAATTGAAATGAAACTTCAGCTTGACGTATCAAAGTGGGTGACGAAAGATACTTAGTGATTTCTTCGAGCTCCGATGACCAATTAACTTTAAGGGAGCTCTGAACTCGTCCATACATCTTATTATTTATCGATTAGACGGATGAACGTGCTCACGGCCCACCTGAAGTCAAGTAGTCACCGGAGTCATAGACATTAACAACGTAAATACCATCACCTCTGTACGCGAGTTATTTAACTTCTCGATTGCGTAAAAGTTAACTTAAATTTGTATGGTATTGGAACAGCGCCCATAGCGGAAACGAAGGAAAACTGTATAACGACTACCCCTCGACATTCAAACTAGAACGCATTACTGCTTCGCGGTAAAAATAGACGGGCTCACAAGACATGCTACAATCTGTATGAGAATTGTTATGCAAATTATAATTTTTGGTGGTTTTATTTTTGTTAGATGTTATTCCTTCGGAAGCTATTCGTGAAAAAAAGCTAAGTACGCAATTCATTAAAAAAATCTGGAAACCTGCCAGCGGGATTCGAACACCGACATAGTCAGATCGCTCGATACGGATGCACCGGGCGTCTTAAGTTTTACGACATCTCGAGCAATGGAATAAAGAATAATAGGATTCGAACACCGACATAGTCGGATCGCTCGATACGGATGCACCGGGCGTCTTAAGTTTTACGACATCTCGAGCAATAGAATAAAGAATAATAGGATTCGAACACCGACATAGTCGGATCGCTCGATACGGATGCACCGGGCGTCTTAAGTTTTACGACATCTCGAGCAATAGAATAAAGAATAATAGGATTCGAACACCGACATAGTCGGATCGCTCGATACGGATGCACCGGGCGTCTTAAGTTTTACGACATCTCGAGCAATAGAATAAAGAATAATAGGATTCGAACACCGACATAGTCGGATCGCTCGATACGGATGCACCGGGCGTCTTAAGTTTTACGACATCTCGAGCAATAGAATAAAGAATAATAGGATTCGAACACCGACATAGTCGGATCGTTCGATACGGATGCACCGGGCGTCTTAAGTTTTACGACATCTCGAGCAATGGAATAAAGAATAATAGGATTCGAACATCGAGACAGTCGGATCGCTCGATACGGAAGCACCGGGCGTCTAAATTTTACGACATCTCGAGCAATCGCTCGATACGAATGCACCGGGCGTCATAAGATTTACGACATCTCAAGCAATAGAATAAAGAATAATACGTGTTCTTACTTAATATCTTCACTTCGCCACAAGAAATCGTGCAAGTAAAAGCAGGGGTTGAAAGTCACGAGACTACGAATTGTAATGTCAATTGTAAATTGAATTAAACTTGGTAATTGTCACTGACTGAACTCGGATATGACTGTTATTTGCATAATCCGTCTGCGTCGAAGTTGTTTTTGTTATAAATGATTCCCTCAAAAGTAAAAGTTATAAAGGTCGATTTCACATATTAACACGTTTTTATTGGCTAGGATATGTAGATATGTGTATTCATGTGTACATATATTACCGATATTTTAAAAGCCATTGTCAATGACCTCAACATGTTAAATTAACTAATAACAAAAAAAATTGCACATGCGTCAATAACCACTAAAAATCACTTTGTAACTTCGGTCTAGTATTTTGACGTGTATCAGGAGGATAAAAAAATATGAAACTAAATTACATATTAGTTTCAATTTTTATTTATGCATGTTTTCAGTCAAATTGAGAAACACTTCTTTGTGGTATTGAAGCAGTTCAAGCCCTAGGAATAAGGTATCAGGTATGGTTAAAAAGACATATGTTAGACGTCATGCAATATAGCCTCTCAAGGCTATCAGCTTCGGTAGGAAAAAAAAACTCTGACTTTAGGGATCTAAGAATAATGAAAACATGGTGACACCAATCTTAGTCTTATACTTATATTTTGCATGATGAGCATTAGCGCAATAGAGTTAAACAGAAAATATAGTTACTCACCAGATGTGTATAGTATGTACAAGGGTTCATTGGCTTCTACCGACTCGCACGGTACCGGGTCGGCTTCCAAGGCCTCGTCCCAGGATATGTCCCTTCCAATTTCAAGGGGACACTCGAGTACTCTGCGCCGTTGGTATATGATGCAGGAGCGAGGCTGATGGGAACTCTGACACAGTGCTTCGTCCAGAATATCCTTGTACCTAACAAGAATTCAATTTTTTTTTGTAATTTTTTTTGGATGGGCGGACGGGCTCACGGCCCTAGAGTTAAGTGGTTACCGGAGCCCATAGACATCTATCTACAACGTAAATGTCGCGACCCACCTTCAGATGTGAGTTCTAAGGTCTCCGTTTTTACAGTTCAACAGCTGCTTTAAACCGAAACGCATTACTGCTTTATAGCAGAAATAGGCAGGGCAGTGGTACCTACCCGTGCGGACTCACAAGACGTTCTACCAGCAGTAAGCGTCCCCAGTAATAATTTGTTCGGATATTATCATCAAATAGTAAGTAATGTACAGGATTAGTACGAAGTGCGGGAAAGATGGCGAATACAAAATAATAATAATNTTCAACAGCTGCTTTAAACCGAAACGCATTACTGCTTTATAGCAGAAATAGGCAGGGCAGTGGTACCTACCCGTGCGGACTCACAAGACGTTCTACCAGCAGTAAGCGTCCCCAGTAATAATTTGTTCGGATATTATCATCAAATAGTAAGTAATGTACAGGATTAGTACGAAGTGCGGGAAAGATGGCGAATACAAAATAATAATAATTATAAGCGTAATACACAGTTGTCGGTAGATTGTATGTGTATTAATACTTTTCAACAAGCGCCTAAAAATTCTTGTCGGACCCAAAATTAAAAAGGAAATGGAAATATTATTTATTTATTTGAAAAAATGTTTATTACGTTTTTTTTTTATTGCCTAGATATGTGGACGAGCTTACAGCCCACCTGGTGTTAAGTGGTTACTGGAACCCATAGACATCTACAAAGTAAAATGCGCCACACACCTTGAGATATAAGTTCTAAGGTCTCAGTATAGTTACAACGACTGCCCCATCCTTCAAACCGAAACGCATTACCGCTTCACGGCAGAAATAGGCAGGGTGGTGGTACCCAACCGCGCGAACTCACAAGAGGTCCTACCACCAGTAATTACAATTTTGCAAATTATAATTTTGCGGGTTTCATTTTTATTACACGATGTTATTCCTTCACCGTGGAAGTCAATCGTGAACATTTGTTGAGTACGTATTTCATTAGAAAAATTGGTACCCGCCTGAGATTCGAACACCGTTGCGGCGCTCAACACGAATGCACCGGACGTCTTATCGGTTAGGCCACGACGACTTCAAAAAATGTTTATAATAACATATTTTATCCACACTGTACATTCAAATTTTATAAAGGTTCTACAATATCTTGCTTATTTTAGTGGTTTTAATGTAAATTATTACTTTTAATTAATTCTATCTTAATATACATAATAATTATCAGTATTTGCATGTCACTTTTGTTTTTTGTCTATTTCTTACGGAGGTCTGGCATAAATGGCCACACTACGAGTATATCAAGTTTCGAATAATTAATATTCGGACAGTCCTCAATCTACCGCGCGATTTCATCCGTTCTGTGGAAGATCTTATTTTTATTATTATTTGATTTCGAACAAAAGCGGGTAGGATTGGATTTTGGTTACCTGACGATCTTATTAGGCTCTACCCCGCAACTGGCGGCTATGATGACCGTTGGCTCAGCGTGTTCGATCCTCGTTCTTAATTCCCTCGCAGCGAAACCTTCACAACCATTCATTATATTAAACATATATATAGCCCGTAGAATTAGTGAACTGAAGTGGCAATGGGCCGGCCACATAGCACAAAGAGAGGACGGTCGATGGAGCAGAAAGATCCTGGAGTGGCGACCACGTACTGGCAAGCGCAGTGTGGGACGGCCACCTACTAGATGGACCGACGACCTAGTAAAAAGCGCTGGGTCTCGTTGGATGCAGGTGGCAATGGACCGGTCGCACTGGAAATCTATTGGAGAGGCCTATGTTCAGCAGTGGACGGCGATAGGCTGAAATGATGATGATGATGATGATATATANCACGTACTGGCAAGCGCAGTGTGGGACGGCCACCTACTAGATGGACCGACGACCTAGTAAAAAGCGCTGGGTCTCGTTGGATGCAGGTGGCAATGGACCGGTCGCACTGGAAATCTATTGGAGAGGCCTATGTTCAGCAGTGGACGGCGATAGGCTGAAATGATGATGATGATGATGATATATAGCTTAAAAACAAAAAAAAAACAAAAACACAAATAGCAAACTGAACTAACAATTAATTACAGATTTTTTTTATTTTCAAATCTTGTTGAAACTGATCAGGATATTGGAAAAAGATTACTAAATTTTTCATTATTTCTCGATGCGTGTATAAAATTGCAAGCTAATCGGACATCTTCAAGTCCGTGATAGTCTATAAATAAGTGTTAAAAACGTATAAGCATAAATATCTCTTAGGCGCGTTAATAATATACTTAAAAATAAAGCTAATTTTATTTTATTGTAAAATTGAATAAATAAATTTCTTTAATCCATACAGAAAGCGAAAATTCATTCACATGTTTATAAGCTTTACGAGTAAAATTACAGTAGAACACAAATATAATCACGTAATTATTAAAATATATGATGATAATAATCTCTGCGTGCGTTACATAAACATACCTAATTATTAACAATTCATAAAAACAAAAGTGAAACACGAAATAATAACAATAACAAATGGGTGTTTAGAGGATTAGAATAATCAGCTATTAATTTATTCGTGAAATAGAAAGCGAATCGAATATTACGAGAAGTAGAGGAACGTGTGATTAAAAGTCGCTAGTTATTCATTCAATTATTACAATTGTTATTATTATTACAGTTCACGTTTCTCGACTACCCACATCGTCCATTTAAAACTACTTTTACGGTTTTAATATTGCCTTTTTTCTTATATTATTATCATCGTTTTGACTAATTTAAAGTTATCGTGCTGACAAACGATAGAATATAGATGACAATCAACAAGGCGAAATTAAGACCGTAAAATTGATTTTGATTAAGAAGTCTACAACTCGCAAATATCGAAGGACATCCCCACTACCATTCTTAGCTGCACTTGTAAGCTATTGCATAGCTTTTATCGCGGGCTTTGAGCGCAGCGACCGAATCAAGATATTCCGTAACGAAACTAAAACCTAACGGCCCCCACTCCGCCTACCATGTAGCTCGCGTTTAACACATTCACACGTTGCGCTTGTGTAGTGTTTGTGAATAAGCGCGCGGCGTGACGTCGCACTGCATGTGCATCATGAAAAGTCTGCCCATCTCTCTCTCGCGCGGTCTAGCTTATGAGTGTGAAGGGGACAGTTAATGTTCTGCTTTTGTTCATGTTTATAAATATAGCGTGATCTTATTTTATTATTGTTTTAATATTAAATCATTATTGTCTAATTACAATTGCATAAGTTGATAAAAAATGCTATGCAATAGATTTATCGCGGCAGTCCCCGAGTGCCACACGTGTTTTTTCTATACTAATATTATAAAGAGGAAAGATTTGTTTGTTTGTTTGTTTCGAATAGGCTCCGAAACTACTGGACCGATTTGAAAAATTCTTTTTCCATTAGAAGCCGACATTGTCCCTGATGAACATAGGCTACTTTTATTTATTTATTTTTTATTTTATTTTTTTTGTTTCATGTGTGTTTTAATGTTTCCGAAGCGAAGCGAGGGCGGGTCGCTAGTCTTAAATAAATTCAAATCATACCTCCAAATACAACAGAGTGAATGGCGCCGATACGATTGGTAGCGAGCATAGCTATAATAGCTTCTGGTACTAGCGGCATGTAGATCAGCACCCGGGCCCCCTTACTCACTCCCAACGTTGTCAGCTTTCCAGCCAGACGCGAGACCTGTAAATGCGCTCGTAATAACGTCATTGTACAACACGAATTTAATAAGTACTAGTGGTCCGCTAGTGCTCCAAATTCGACTATAATGAATTGAAATTATAAGTTTGAACATTATTATCGTTCTATTTTTTTTTTATTGCTAGATGAGTGGACGAGCTCACAGCCCACCTGGTGTTAAGAGGTTACTGGAGCCCATAGACATTTACGACGTAAATGTGCCACCCACCTTGAGATATAAGTTCTAAGATCTCAAGTATATGTATTTATATCAATCTAGATCTATTGTCAAAGACTTCATACTTCTATAATCACAGATTTCGCCAAGCCTACACTATAGACAAATATTAATAAAGACAAAGAATATTAATCTATTCTCAATTACATCATAGACTTTATTAAGCTCGTCTCAATTTGACCACAGATTTTAACAATGAACAAAAGAGTATATATGCATGTGTGTGTCAAATACATGGCAGTGTGTGTAATGTTTTTTTATTGATTTAATGTTATTTTTTATGTACAAATAAAAAAAATGCATTTTGCACTCCTTCACTATATATATAGGTATAAGTGTGAAGGAAAAGGAAGGAAATTGCATATTCCGCCGTCCGCGCAATTTACGTAAAAGAGGGGTACAAAGTTGGTTCTTCACGTATTAATAGAAAGAATTACTGATGGTAGGGCCTCCGATCATTTTACCGTGGGGGTAAAAATGCGTTTTTCTCGTGAGTTTATTAAGGCCGTTGTTTTTAATTAAGACTTTAACGTTCTGGTGTTGATGGACACCTGTGGTAATTTAATACATGGCGGCTAACATTAATGCCGCAAGTAATTAGGACCTAAACAATATCAGACTATTAAATATATGAGCGCGCTTTTTAAACATAATTATACTATTTCCAATGTTTCGAATCTGTGACCACGAAAACTGTAAAGTATACGCAATGTCAGAAATAATATAATTACAATAAAAACGTGAGGTTAGACCATAAAGTCATAGTGTTACATGGATAAAGAGAATTGACGTTGATTAAACTAGAAAATGGATTACTCGAAATTGGATTGATGAAAATAGGAATGAGTGAATAGAATCAATAGAATAGAGAAGGTGTTTCCAAGGTATTGTTACACCTAAGCATTACAAGGCGAAAGTCGAAGACGCTTACCTGATCTTTTAGCTCATTGTAAGAGATTTTCCTGACCGTGTCAGTGAGTGGCGAGTCGTGAACCAAAGCGAACTGCTCGCCTCTTCCATTGACCACGTGTCGGTCCACCGCGTTGTAACATACCGACATCTCTCCGCCGACCCACCTTACAAATAACACACACTATACAAAACAGAACTAGGCAGATTTTAAACAGCCCGGTGGTAGGAGCTCTTGTGAGTACTGGTGGTAGGACCTCTTGTGAGTACGCGCAGGTAGTCACCACCACCCTGTCTATTTCTGCCGTGAAGCAGTAATGCGTTTCGGTTTGGAGGGTGGGGCCGCCGTTGTAACTATACTCGAGACCTTAGAACTTATATCTCAAGGTGGGTGGCACATTTACGTTGTAGATGTCTATGGGCTCCAGTAAGCACTTAACACCAGGTGGGCTGTGAGCTCGTCCACCCATCTAAGCAATAAAACAAAAAATCAAAAAAATCCAACACTTTCTCACTGCTGGACATAGCTATAATACGTCCTCCATCAAGAAAGATACAGCGCCGTTTATAAAAGGATTTTTTTTACCCCTACCTGTTGGCTGGTAGCCAAAAAGGCTATTCCATCTACGCCCGGACGGGTAGGTGAGCTCACGGACTCAACCTGAGAGAGTTTGCTAACACTAGCCCTAGCAAGAATAGTGCTTCATAGAATCTACCACCGGATCAGAATCGCGACCCACTGAGAAGATCCGGCAGGAAACTCAGTGGGCTGTGTCTACAGGCTAGTTCGCTCTAGAACTCTTCATCGTAATCGACGAGCTCGACGAGGACGGTGACCGGTGCAGGTGACACCCAAAAGCACCGAGTGTGAATCCGAGGATCCGACAAGACATGTTCTGGGTGACGGCGGCTTTGCGTTGCCCCGTCGCGGTCGGATAAAAGGACATACGTTAGTGCACGGTTATCACCTTCTAAGGGACGGACTAATACAATACCGCACCAGTCAAACCATATAAAAATTCTAACAAATAGATTTACCATTTCGTGAACGGCGCGTTACTGTCATCTAGAACTCGATCCCATGGCTTTGTCCACTCGAGTTCCGATCCGACTTCGCCCCAGAACCCTTCAGGGTCGTTCAACGACCTCTGCTGGGCCTTTTCGTACTCAGGCGTTGTCCCACATACGTCTGAATCAAAAAGGTCTTATCTTATTTTTGTGGTGGGAATGTTGGTTAGATAGATAGAAAAGTCTGAAGAAATTGAAAAAACCAGGTGTCGGATTCTTGAAAACGTAGACTAATGATGCGTGATGAGTCCTGACATAATTTAAAAATCGATTTTCTGAACTTTTCAATGACGCAATGTAATCCAAATAAAACTCTCCCGACGCGTACAGTTCTCGGTTCAGTGAAACGCGAGTAGTTACCCTTCTGCTAGCTTCGTTTTAGATTACGGGTTCACAACCTAACAACGAGCCATTATACTTCGTCTTCGTAAATGAGGAATGATTTCCGTTTATTGGGTGATGGTTTTCTGATAAAGAATAGCAATAAACAATGTAGCTACGTCAGGCGCCTCTGCTGACGCAAGTATGCAAAGGCAGATCTTCAGCGAGCTCAACTGCTGAATTGTCAAACGCGCAGACGACGCCATCCGCCGGACCTGTGGTCCGATGCCCTTTCCGTTAGATTAAGATTAGTAATAAGTTAGTCTTAAGTCAGATTTGGTGCAGAATAAACGTTCATAAACTATAATTTCATTGTTTTTAAACATCCTCCGCGTGGCCCGCAACTTGACTATTTTGACAATATTTTTCAAATTAATTATGTATTATGTAATTACAGTTCCACAGTTTTATTTATTGACTAGATCGATACATTATATAACAATTGAAATAAATAGTGACCTAAACTAAAGGTGTTCTTTTTTTAATCGATCGAAAATCATCACTCATCATCAATCATCAATCATCGAAAACAAAAAAATCGTCACACTAAAACGAATTACTAAATTGTGCTTCAGTAGTGTTGATGTAAGGTGCATTTCGACTTGTCCCGTTCTACTCACTATAGCATTCGATGTCGGCCGCAGAAACGAAAGTCTTCTTTTTAAGCTCACTAATTGACGACTCAAACTTGCTTTTCTCGATTTTGTTGCCAACTTCATTTTGTTGGTGCATTTTAAAACCGAAAAATGAGCCGAAGGCAGAAACCAAAAAAATTAAATATATATTTTTTTCAAATTTCAATTGTCGTGTTTCCGTCGTATCGTTCTTTTTGGAACTGCCTCATTTGTATTATAGATGCGCGTACCACAATTCCGACTAATATACATTTCAATTAGGGACCTGTGATCCCGAAAAGAATGAATTATTGAACGACTCGTAACTGACGCAGCCCGCTAAAAAGACAAATTTCGAGATTACTTACTACCGATAAAACAAGTATTGTGCTTTTCTTTTGTATAGTTATATCGTTTCAACAATAACATATGAAATATTCAGTCTCCTGATTCTTTATTTGACGTCGTTCACGAACAATAATTTATTTTTAATAATGAATTCATAATTTTTCTTTCATTATTATTGAAAATGTACGTGGTGGTGGGATCACTCCTTCTCTATCTATACTAATATATAAATGTACAGTGGTTTTTACGGATGTTCCGTTATAACTACTGAACCATGCATCCGATTGACTTGAAACTCGGTATCCATGTAGAAAATACATGTACTTAATGGATAGGCTAATATGAGTGTTGGACTCCCTACACCAGTTGCGGGGGCGTTAATGATGAGAATCTTTGTGGGGGTGAGAAATAATAATGTTCATTTTAAATCCCCAGCAAAGCGGACGGGTACAGCTAGTAGTCTCTATAAGTGTGCGAAATTTCATAGTCCTCGGTCGGCGTATTAATTTTCGTAAAAAGGAGTACAAAATTTTTGCTTCACGTATTAATAATTAAATTAATGATGGCAGGGCACCCGACAATTTTTGCGGTGGGGTTAAGCATGCGTTTTTCTCGTGAGGTGACCACAGCCGTTGTTAAGACTAACAACGAACGTTCTGGTGTTGATGGACACCTGTGGTAATTTAATATAGGCCGGCCGTCATTAATGCCGCGTGTAATTAGGACCTAAACTTTATCAGACTATTCAATATATGTATAAGCGCATTTTTTAAATATAATTATACTATTTCCGATTTTTCGAATCTGTGACCACGAAAGTAATCTATCTCTATCTATCTGTAAAGTATACGCAATGTCGGAAATAATATAATTACAATAAAAACGTGAGGTTAGACCATAAAGTCATAGTGTTACATGGATTATTATTGAAAATGTACATGGTGGTGGGACCGCTTGTGAGTCCGCACGGGTAGGTACCACCGCCCTGCCCATTTCTGTCGTGAAGCAGTAATGCGTTTCGGTTTGAAGGGTGGGGCAGCAGTTGTAACTACATTGAGACCTTAGAATTTATGATTTTTTTTTTATGATTGAAAGATTACTGGTGGCCCGGAGGCCTTTCCAGCTTCACCAGGACAGGTGGGCGAGCAAAGGCTCAGCCAGGAGGGTTGGGATTTGCTAACAACTGCCCGAGCGCCTCCGAAGGAGACCTAGCAACTCAAGAGCAGCTGCTTCGCGAATGAATCTACTACCGGATCGGAATCGCGACCCGCTGAGAAGATCCGGCGAGAAACTCAGCGGACTGATGCATGGGTTAGATTGCACGTCGACCTCTTTGTCGAGTTCGACGAGTACGGTTACCGGGGTTCCTCAGCCTGCTCCTAGTGTTAGAGCTGAAGGTATCTAATGCAAGAGTTATTGGATCTGATGGATCCGTAAGGACGTGTCTAGGGCGACGACGGTGACTTGCTCCTGCGTGATCAGGATTCGGGGAGTAATCAGCGGCGGCAACGATAAGGCGATTATCATGACGCGAATTTATGTCTCAAGGTGGATGGCGCATTTACGTTGTAAATGGCATTGCTGAAGTCCATGGGCGACGGTAACCACTCACCATCAGGTGGGCCGTATGCTCGTCTGCCTATAAGGGCAATAAAAAAAGGAGTAGTACGAAGTAAAAATCGTTGATGTTCACAATACGAGGGCTGCACTAAAAGTATAATGGTATATTTCCACTGTTCCTGTCATATTAAAATCTTTTTAATTGAAAGCTCCTTGGTTTTAAAAATCGAATACCATTTATTTATTTAAAAAAAGATTCTCGGTCTTGTCACGAGGTTTTGTCAAACTTGTTTAGTCGTTGAGAAAATGGAATTGACTCGAGAAAATTCAAGAGCGATGATTTATTATGACTTTCGAAGTGGTTTAACACAAAAACAGTGTGTTGACCGGATGATTTCTGCATTTGGTGATGAAGCCCCATCCAAAACCACAATTTATCGCTGGTTTGCTGAGTTTCAACGTGGACGTGTCAAGCTCAGTGATGATCCCCGTCAAGGTCGTCCAAAAACTGCAGTCACCCAAGAAAACGTTGATGCTGTGCGTAAGCTGATTGAGGAAGATCGACATGTGACATACCGCGAAATTCAGGCAACTTTAGACATTGGCATGAGTCAAATACAAATAATCTTGCATGAACAATTAGGTGTAAAAAAGTTGTTTTCCCGATGGATACCGCATTCGCTCTGTGAAGAGCAAAAAGCGGCTCGCGTTACTTGGTGCGTCAGAACTCTCGAAAGATTCCACGCAGGATCCTCAAATGCTGTATACAACATTGTATCAGGTGACGAATCCTGGATATACGCGTACGAACCCGAAACAAAAAACCAGTCACGAGTTTGGGTGTTCGAAAATGAGTTAAAGCCAACAAAAATTGTTCGTTCACGGAGTGTTGCAAAAAAAATGGTGGCCACGTTTGTCTCCAAAACCGGCCATGTTACGACTATTCCTCTTGAGGGACAAAGAACGGTTAATGCAGAATGGTATGCTAGCATTTGTTTGCCACAGGTCGTTTCTGAACTCCGTAAAGAGAACTGCAACCGCCGCATCATCCTCCATCACGACAATGCGAGTTCTCACACCGCGCACAGAACAAAAAAGTTTTTAGAGCAAGAAAACATAGAATTATTAGACCATCCACCGTACAGCCTCGACCTAAGCCCTAATGATTTCTATACTTTCCCTAAAATAAAGAATAAATTGCGTGGACAGAGATTTTCATCACCTGAAGAAGCTGTGGACGCCTGCAAAACGGCCATTTTGGAGACCCCAACTTCCGAATGGAATGGTTGCTTCAATGATTGGTTTCATCGTATGGAAAAATTTGTCAAATTTCGCGGAGAATACTTCGAAAAGCAATAAATACATTTTTAAATAGTAATGTTGTGTCACTTCGTTAATTCCCGAAATTTTCAGTGCCGCCTAGGTATTCCACAATCATCTAACGCAGTTATTGTAGATATTAAAAATAAGGTTATGCGGTAGTCTACTTGTGGTTTCCACGGTATGAATGAATGGGCCATTAATTCGTCGATACGTGTACGGCAATTAAAAACCCGATCAACGTAAACAAATTAACACTAAAAATTATCAAATTATGATCAATAAATTTTATGAAATCGTGAAATTAAAATCTAAACGAAAAAATGTTACGCGCAGTGTGCTTAATGTGCTGTGAGTAATTTTTTTCTATTTTTTTTTATCGCAACTCATTAATGAAAGTGGGAACTTATTGGTAGGACCTCTTGTGAGTCCGCGCGGTTGGGTACCACCACCCTGCCTATTTCTGCCGTGAAGCAGTAATGCGTTTCGGTTTGAAGGGTGGGGCAGCCGTTGTAACTATACTGAGACCTTAGAACTCATATCTCAAGGTGTATGGCGCATTTACGTTGTAGATGTCTATGGGCTCCAGTAACCACTTAACACCAGGTGGGCTGTGAGCTCGTCCACACATCTAAGCAATAAAAAAAACATGACGTCGCTTGAAGCTGAAAGTAAGTATTGTACTTTTTGACGAAGCATGTTTGCTGATAACTCTATTTCTGTAATCTGACGAAGCGTGTTGCGGATATAACATGTACTTTTAGGTTATTTAGGAATATTATGTTCTTTTTTATTATTATAAATTTAATAAATGTATAATTTACATTCACAGTGTTACAACTGTCTCATCAATATAAAGTCCAAATCGAAGGGAAGGTTGATCTAGAGAACAATCTACTGAGTTATTTCAAAAACTACCTTTTGAATTACGTCAATGACAATCAAACGGATCACAAGATTCAATTTGAGTTGAATAAGAATCAGTACAACACGGATTCATATGTCGAGAGAGATATAGCGAGAAGCCGGGCGAGTGAAGTAAAAAACTTAAGCATTTTACAATTGCTCCTTGATTCTCCGGAATTTAAAATAATGCATCTGTATGGAAGACACAAAAATGGACAGGAAGATATAAAAATACATGTGAACAATATTATTGTTTAAAATGGATTGTGCGTTGAAAAATCGTCTTCTCGCATTAAAACTGTACAATCTCAAAACTTACTAATTTTACAGGAGTGTTTTAAAGGTTTAACACGTAATATTTTTAATATTAATCATCTTTGTAACATTTGTTTTTTAATTTTTACCAGTTACATTATGTATCTTTTAAAGTAAGATAAAATTATGTATTAATTTTGTTAATAGTAGTAAAAACATAGGTAAACTAAAAAAAAAAAGTTAACTACGCTCTTTTGACAGTATTTTTGAGAAAAATACTGGTGATACCAAATGTTTACGCATATTAACTCAATTTCGAATATTTTTGGAAATTGTACACTTTTAATGCGAAAAGGCGAAATGTGCGTTTTTAACGTATGTTTTTTTAAATATTTTTTTTTATTTACGTGAAAATGAAAACAAGTTGGATAAAATAAGTAACTTTTGCCTAGTGTGTATTTGTAGATGTATTGGTTGATGTTTGGCTGTACAAAAAAATACTGAATCATTTATATCAATGTAAATATACTCATGAAAAAATTTAGATGAACGCAAAAAATTGTGTACAAGATAATGCCAACTAAGTTTATTAATTTGGTGAATAGTAATAATTTAAATTTAATTCTCATTTTAATCGTCAATTGAAAAACAAGTTCTTAATTTGGTTTTTGCCCGTTTATTTCAATTGTAAAAAAAAGATTGAAAAATGATTTTTGTACTCAACATTTA